TCGCGTTCTCCTTCCCGCCTCCTTGGCGTGGGCCAGGGCGCTTTGCCAAGGTGAGGGGCCTTCCCACACGAGCGGCGAAGGGGGAGGGCAGCGCGGCGAAAAGCTCTTGGGCCTGGTGCGCTCTGCGCCTTGCTGTAGGTCAAACTCCAGCCTGTTGGTTGTCCTACGTGAGGCCGGGATTTTTTGCCCTTGCAGAGACAAGGTACTATCCTGCTTCAAAATGTCCTCTCCAGCCTGCAGAACGTCTCGTTTTGCATGGTGGCAGGCACAGGTTTCTCCTGCAGGAAGAGCTTTGTGCAAGAGCCGATATGACCTTAGACTGCTGGAAGCCCAAGGACATAGGCAGGCCGCTTGTGAAAAAGCATTCATTCATTTATGCGTTGCTAGATTTAAAAGTCTAGGTTATATCTATGCATTTAACAACTTTGGAATTAATTTTGATGGCTTTTAATCTTTTCATTTCAAAACGCGTATCACTGCCTGCTGGTCTATCTGGCTTTTTTGTCGCTGTTTTGCTACATTTTTTGTCAGTATAACGCATGTACGGGTTCATTGAATTATGTTGCTATTTGCAATAATGTCTCCTGAAAACGGTGCTATCGAATTGCATGGCAGCGTTTGCTTCTGTATCGTTTATTGTATATCCAGCTGTGCAAAGATTGCTGTCTTTCAAGTAAGACCAATGGCTTAGTAGTTGATGTTCTTATACTCTTACAGACTATTTTACAGGACAGCTGTGATCAAATGTTTCTTTTCTTATAGCTTTTTTCTTCCTCTTGCAGATCCGTGCTGGATCAAGAGTCTTGTACAGACCAATTTCGGCATCTGTGTTGTCTAGGCCAGAGGTCAAGAATGGAGAGGTACCTTATAAACAAAATTCTGTATCTTCCTAAATTACCTGGTGAGCCTAAATGTCCTCAACCTAGAGTTCACTTGTACTAACTCAAGTATCTATAGTGTGAAAGTTGCTTTAAGTCAAACACCTAATAATACTTGTTGCTGTCTTGCTGAGAAGTCTTTCACATTTAATGTTGATTGCTTTCAGGTGGAACAGGTAATCAGGTAATATCCTGAATTTTTTCACTCTTAGGACTTGGAAGTAGGCATTGGATCTAATATAGCTTTTAAAACTGCAGAATAACGCTGTCAAAGTGGTCATAGAAAATGGTCTGTGTCTGAATGTAATACTTTTTCATGTTTTGTTTTCTTAGGGCAACTCAACACTTAATGGGGCCCAAAATACTGTCTCCCGACTAGCACTTAGAGAATTCCAGACTAGTGCTATCAGCAGGGACATTGACACTGCTGCCAAATTTATTGGTGCTGGTGCTGCCACAGTAGGTGTGGCTGGTTCTGGTGCTGGTATTGGAACAGTCTTCGGTAGTCTAATCATTGGTTATGCCAGGTAATAAATCTCTCTTATAAAACTCTCAAATTGCATGCAGATGTGTCTTGAATAGCACCCCCAGATAAGCTAAGTTGTACTAAGGATGATGGCACTGTAATAAATTCTGTTAATAATTACTATTAATGATAAACATGGCTAAATAGAATCATATGAAACTGTAGTATATTTATCAGGATGGCTGTATTGTTAAATTCAGAATTTTGTACACTCTGCCTGGAGAAGAGGTGTGAAAGAAATGAGATCATTAGACTTCGTCAGTGTTTTGGTCACTGAAGTCCAATGTTTCAGTATTCAGTTCCACAACTGAACTAAAAATCCAGCCTGGATTTTTTGCCATGTGAGAGGGGAGGAGAAGTTTCAAAGAGAAACTGTATGAAAACTAGTAATAAGTAATGTGAGTTTGTATGCTTTAGACTTAGTAGTCATGATTGTTATTTAGAAATGGATGCTTAATTCTTTTTTCTAACACATTCAGCTTTGCATCTCAGAATATGTAATTACTTTATCAAATGAGTAATCATTCCTTCTAGAAATCTGAAGGGGCTGAGGGCGGGGATTTTATCATAGGGATGAACTTCTTCCAGATAAGTTTACAATGGTCCTGTAGTAGGAATAATTCATGTGGTGTCATGGAAGAGCAGAACTGATACAGATATAAAAAAGCTTTACTGAAGGTTTCATGTTCTTCATTACTCTTTCAACGAGTTAAGACTTAATTAAATCTTACTACTTAAAGATTTCTAAGCTCTACTGAAGACAAGGAAGTTCACTTTGCACTTGAAGAAACAGAAGTGTTTTCAGTACAAAACTAATGTCTCTCTTTTTTTTGAATTTGGCATGAATGTGCCAATAAGAGATTGTAGAACACTACTTCATAGTATTACGTTGAATGGGTTTTTTTTCTCACACGCACTTCTTGGAGGGATAACGCATTGCATTTTTACAACAAACTGCTGTGTATTTCTTTTTTTGCTCCAGGTGGTTTCAGTTCCTGTATTTTCTGAGAGCTACTTAAAATGTTACACACAAACTTCCTTGGAATATAGTTCTAATATCACAGATGAGAAATAAATTTATAAAGCATAGTGCTGATACTTCCTGCATGGGAGGATGTAGAGAAGTCAAATTCAAAAGCATATATGAATGTAGTCACAAAAACTGTGCTCATTTGGAAAAAAACATACACAGTCTGCATAACCCAAATCTAGTCTTAATGGCCAAGGCATTTGTCTTCAGTGAAATCCTTCTGCTTGGATGTATTGGGTTTTCTTGTTATGGAATCTGTAGCAAGGAAGTATGAGGTTCTGAACCTGTCAGATGCATTAAACTGTATGAAAAACATCTTAATTGTAAAGGTCTTACACCTTCGCTTTCTTTTAGAAATCCTTCTCTGAAGCAGCAGCTGTTCTCATATGCTATCCTGGGATTCGCCCTGTCTGAAGCTATGGGTCTCTTCTGTCTGATGGTTGCTTTCTTGATCCTATTTGCCATGTGAAAGGAGATCTGCCTGTAATACTGGCATTGGAATGTAACTCTGCATTTTATGGGACTCCCAAAATGTTGGTGTCATGGAAATTGATGCTATTTCCAAAGTCATTTCATTAAAGATAACAACTTTAACTGTCAACCTGTTGCCTGCATTTATTATCTTTCTCACTAGGATATCTGGAAGACAGCATCTTGTCAGTCAGCATGCATTTCTCCTGATAATAACATATCTCACATAGGACATTTCAAAAAATGACTTCAAGTCAAACATTTTATTTATTTATATATATAGGAGTGTCACTTGTTTGTTGAAATTAATGTGGCATATCTTTGAAAGATCAAAGGGTACGCAGATTAAATGTGAAAGGCTATACTGCTGGCCTTGTTCCTTCACTTTTCAAACTTACTCAGAGCTGTTTCTGTGCACAGTTTGGGTTTTTTTCCCCTCAGGACAGCTAGCACATAAGGCACCTCTTGACAGAAGGAGCTAAACACAAACCTATGAACAGTGATAGGAAAGTTCTTTTTCCATCAGTTTTCAGTTAAACTATACATTTTGATCACCATGGTAAAAAATTTCTACTTGATTTTTGAGCAGTGTCTCAGTTGAACTAAACTTTACTGCTTTAGATTGGTCCGAGTCTAGTTGTGGCACATTGATACTACAGTTAGTTACTGCATTCTTGGCATCACCTAACTAAAAGGGAGAACTTGTAGCTTCTTAATTTTGTAAAGTCAGCCTTGTGTTATCTCCCAAATACTTTTTAAGAGCAGTAGGATCAAAGCATTTTTAATAACAAAATACCTGCAGTATTAAGCTTTGCTTCTCACAGTGTCTGTCTTTTAACAATCTAAATGCATTTATGGTGTTGTCTACACTTAGAGCAACATACTCTGTGCTAATATATACTAATCTGGTGGGGGGTGTTGATAGCATCTCAAACTTTATTCAGAATGTTAAATAATAGATCTGGTCATTCAACAAATGTAAGCTGAACTTTGGAAGAAGGTGAACAAGCTTGTTTGGAGCTCTGTCTTCTTGCTGTTAAATAGGTAATTACTGAATTAAATCTGGGAAACTACTGTAAGCTGTCTATCCTTATGGAAATGGAGAAGTAACTAGTGTCTCTCAGATCAGTGTAAGGTGCAGGTAAGACCTTTGTTTTCATCTTAATTGAAATACCAAGTTAGTGTTCATGTTGCCTTAGACCTAGCACAAGAAGCTACTTTCTCCATGTGTTCTTAGAAGAAAATGGTCATCTTCTCAAAAGGATTAAAAGTTGCCATGTAAATTCTTTCATATATCTGAGGTTTAGGCACGTAGAATAGGCAGCATCTTTAAATATTCACCTCTAGCACAGCATTAGTAGTGCCTTATATGACTAGGTCCAGAAGTGGGGGTTTTGGCAGTGAGGGAGGGGTAGGAGGTAAAGCATATTGCAGCTATGTTCCATCTGGTCTGTACTCACACTGGGATTTTTTTATGAACTCACTATTACCTGTTCTCATAAGCTATTCTGTTACTGAGCTGACATACAGTGCATTTGGCCTGGATTAAAGGCAGGTAACCATTTCTAGAATTCCAGGCTAAAGCTCATCTGTGTACTGCTGTCCTTCTGGTTGGTGGTGAACTTTGTTCTTTCAGCACTGTAGAGATCTCTGCAGGCATCTGAGGTGCCAATCTGTGTCCTAATATTGTAGCCTAGTCTAGTGGGCTAGCTTAATTCAAGCTTCAGATTTCCATACCATTGGGATTTGGCTGAACAAGGGTCTTCAAACTTAACTTGGTCAAGCCTAGCTCCAGCTCTATTAATCATATTTATCAATCTGTTTATTTATAAAATGGTTCTGCTCAGTTATAATTGTGCGTTTGGTGTAGAGGAAGTTCTGGCTACGCTATGGCTCCATAGCCTCAGTAAGAAAGACCTGTGAGTCATCATGAGCTACTTCAATCAGCTTTGAATAACGATTTCTGGATTTACATCCCATCTTTTCCGATGTGGTTCACCCTGTCCACATGTACCCTTTTCCCTGTGATCAGCCTTGCCTGAAAGGCAGCAGACATCTCGGGTGACCCTGTATGTAGATGTAAAGCCTGTCTATTTTAATAGTGGCATCTCTCCAAGCTTGTTAACTTTTGACTCGCTCTTAGACTGGTGAACATGGGCCAAACCCAAGCAAAATTGCTATTAGATTATGCCAATCTTGAAAGAATTGGATCTCAGTGTTACAGATAAAGACTAATCAAGGTCTTTCAAAACATGGCAACGAGCCTTCATGCAGGGGATTATCCTCCTTATAGACAATAAGGGGCTTATGAGCGATGGGCAGATGTTCACATCTGAATGATCACAGGGCACACTGGCTTCCTTTCTCTATTGCTCTGTTTTCACTGCTCTTGAAAAACAGCTTGGTTTCAGTGGTTACTTGAGCACTTCAGCAGCTCAGTCAATTTGAGTGGTCTTACAAAAAATTTTATGTTTTCCTAAAATACCCACAAAAGAAAAAACTACAGTTGTGTAAAAGATTACATGGTTTGGGGTTTTTTTTTAAAATAATTCAGTGATTGGGCAGCAGCAAGCTATCCAAAAGGACTCTTGATCTTCTCTGCAAGAGGTTTCCATCAAGAAATCTTTTTCATAGGTCAGAGAGACCAGATACAAAGTTCCACAAGGTGATACTGTAGGCTTCGCTTTCCTGAAGCCTTTGTCACAGTTTTTCTGACAGGAACTGTGCTGACCTTAGAGACCCTCAGCTCGGGAAGATTCGTGTTGTAGGTTCTCCACATCCAAAGACTCTGTTCATCTTTCAGTGGTGAAGGTGGAGCCAGCTGAAGCAGAAATCTTTGTTGTCTCTGAATAACTACTCTGCCTGCTGTCCCAGTAGATCCAACATCATTCCACCTGTGATAGTGATATACACAACAGTCTTATCCTAATGCATAATGAAGGAGATGTTTATGTTACCAGCTATGTTCTGAAGTTATTCCTGCAGGTAAAAGTGATTCACCCTTTCCCTCTGTTTTCTGCACCAATTTCAGACAGAAAGAAGAAAGGCAAAGAACTTGCAGTTCAGTTCTCTGTTCAGGACTGATGCTGCCATGTGATGGTAGATCTAAACCACTGAAAAATACTTGTTTCTGATAGAGGTCTCAGTCGCTCTGTGAAGAAGGAAGGAAGATCTCTGTTCCTCTCTCCTCTTTGCACTTTCTCCCATTTGACCCCTTTGCAACATGCTCACAGAGAACAATAATGCCACCTTTAAGTAAACTGTACTTCTATGCAGTGGTTTTTTTGCCCACCTTATCTCAGAGAACATTGCGAAAGTGCTGTACGGTGCCCACCCAAAGCAATTTACAAGAAATGAAACATACCATATTGTCTTTTGCAAGTACAAGGAAATGTAGATATAATGTCATTTACTGGAACTTCTTTTTTAGAAGTGTTTTTTTGTAATTCATAGTCACCCACTCTCGGGTCAGTCTCCGAACAAGACGGTTCCAGATGATAACACAGGCACAGAATTAAAACTTCATCTGTGATTCAGAGCACATACTTGCTAAACTGTGTTACCACATATGATTGTGATACTTAACTCATCCAAAATGCTAATTAATTCTGTCTTAAATTTAGGTAAAGATGCTTCCCTTCCTTGTACAGTGCTGCAGCGCTTGATACAACGTTCAGTAAGGTGAATGTTTAGCAGACGTATGGCTTCAGGCACACCTGTAGTTGCTGCCGTAAGAGATGGGGTGAGTAGGGAGACTGGGAAACCCAAGGAGTACAGCCAGTAGACCGTGTTGGAGGGCTGGTTATTGTAAACCTGAGATGTGACAAGCGTATCGAGCGCCGTCACGGAGCAAAGCCTCGCAGCGGTTTAGTCCCGGCCTGCTGCCCTCCACGGCTCTCCTGCAGAACCGGCAGCGGAGGGTGGGCACTTCATCCCCTGAGCTCCCCAGCC